TAGCAGTTCCATAACTCAGTCCTGGAACGTATTCATGAAGCATCTTTAGCATATGTGAAGCAGTAATAATAAATTAATGTGCGCCACATGAATTACATCCATGGTTGTTGAAGGAACTTTGGGACAATATACGTGTAGCCTTGGAGAATGCCAGGAGAACTAGTGAAGTACTAAAATAAGATAAATACTCCCATCTTCAAGAGAGGGGAAAGGTAGATCCAGGAAACTGCAGACGATTCAACCTGGCATCATTGCTGGGCAAAATTCTTGAACAGATGATCTAGTGGTCAGTCTGTGAGAAATTAGGAAATCATGCACTGATTACTAGGCATCAATATGGGTTTGTCAGGAATAAGTCATGCTACAGCAACCTTACCTCATTTTTGATAGTTACTAATCTGGTATATTCTAAGAATGCTGTGGACCTAGTATATCTTGTTTTCAGCAAACATTTTGATAAGTTTTCCAATGCTATCTTTGTTGAAAAGATTGCAAAATATGGGCTGGGCGATACTAGAACTGGGTGGATTTACAGCTGGTTGAGCAACCATACTTGGCTAGTTCTAATTAATGATCCTGCATTCCTCTGAAGATCCGGCATAACTATGAGAGGGCTCTGTTCTAGGCCTGTCTGGTACTGTTCAACAATTTTATACATAATTTGAATGAAGGTGAATGAATTATTTTATAAATAATTTGAATGAAGTTGCTTTCCAAATTTGCAGATGAACCAACATTAGGAGAGAAAGTCAGCTTCACAGAAGACAGGATCAAGATTCAGAAGAATGCAGGAAGGTTGGAACACTGGACAGAATCTACCAAGATGAGATTCAAGCAAGATAAAATGTGAAGTTTTGCACTTAGGTCCGAAGAAATCAAAGGCATGTATAGGATGGGGTGACCTGGTTTGGGAGAGGTACCTATGAAAATGACCCAGGTTACTTAGTGGATCACAAGCTGAATATGATCAGCATTGTGATGAGGTTGCTAAGAAAACTAATGCAATCTTAGCCTACATTAACAGAAGCATGGTGTCCAGATCATGGGAATAATAGTTCTGCTCCATTGTGTTTTAAGTGGGGTTCAATTGGAGTACAGTGTGCAGTTCTGTGTGCTCCATTTGGGAAGGATATTGACATTGGAACACATGCAGAGAAGAGCAACCAGGATGATGAGGAGACTGGAAACCGAGTCCTTGAGGAACGATTAAAGGAGCTGGATATGTTTAGCCTGCAGAAGAGAAGATTGAGGGAAGACATGATAGCAGTGTCCAAATATTGAAAGGCTGTCATGCAGATGATGGAACAGATTTGTTCTCTGTTTCTCCTGAGGGCCTGGGCAAAACCAACAATAGGAAATTGCAGGGAAGCAGATTTCAGCTTAACACTAGGAGAAATTTCCTAACAGTGACAGGTCTTCAGCAGTGGAACAGATTGCCTTGGGAGGTGGTGGACTCCTCTTGATGAGAAATACAAATACATCCAATGCAGAGATTGGATGGCCAATTCATTCATTCATACTGTGATTTATATCCTGCCTTTTTCCTACAAAGGGCTCAAGGCAGCTTACATCATTCTCCTCCTCCATCTTATCCCCACAACAACAACCCTGTGAGGTAGGTTGGGCTGAGAGTCTGTGACTGGCCCAAAGTCACCCAGTTGGCTCCATGGCTGAGCAGGGACTAGAATCCAGATCCTCTGAGTCCCAGCCCCATGCTCTTAACCCCTACACCACACTGGCATTCTTGGGGATGCTGTAGCTGCACTGTGTGGTGCATTGGGCAGCTGATTTCTGAAACACATTTCAACTCTATGAATCTAAACATTTATAGAGAGCTCTAATGCAAAGCATGTATTATCTGGTATTAATCCTTTATACCGCAAGATAGTTCAGAGTAATGATTCCCATGTTGTAAATTACACGCATTTGGAGAGAGGTTTCAGTGAGTGTTACCCTTCAAAACCTAACTTGTAAGTTCATGGCAGAAATTATGTTCCAACTGAGAACCTCCCAGTTTTTACCACAGTCTTTTAAGGCACAACTCTATTTGTATTTAAACAGAAAAAAGTCCCACAATTCCCAGCAATCCCCAGTCTGTATGGAATCACACCATTAGCAGCTATCCTATACAGTCTTTAATCCTATGAGCATTTGGAAATAAAGAATTTAAAAATAGAGAAATAGTTCTGTTGCACATGGGTAGAATTCAGCCTCAGTAACTGGAGGTAGGACTACAGTTTAGGACTTGTCACTAGAGTGCTTGAACTCCAGGCACTGAGTGTTCAATCCTGGGGGCATTATGTTGAGAAATAACCATCAGTGCTCACTGACATTGTATTACATGGCTTTCTACAACTTTCTGTGGAACAGGCCAGTTTCTGCAGTGCTATCTCCTGCTTTTGCCAATAAATGGAAACAGCTTTTAAAAGCTATCCTGAAAATAAATAGGGGAGGCAGGGAAGCAGAGTTAACTGGAAACAGCCCCAGAACGTGTTTGAATGTAAATATAACAGCTCTGTAATTACAGCAGCCCCACCCCAGTCCCTCCCAATATATTAATATCTGAGAAGGTATAAAATCCATTCATTTTGGCACAGCTATCTTTTCTCTATCTCTTGGTTGTATAGCTGTAACCTAAATCAAAGTGGGTATTGGATATTGGTATCTAGGCCATTTTACTAGAACATACAATTACACTGTTTTGTGCAGCATTTTCTACCAAGAAAAAGTGCACACAAGATAGCATTCAGTATATTCATAAGGAGCCTGTCTGAAAGACAGAGGCAATCTCAGTTTTCCTGGGGACCCTAATGTATATTTCTGTGAGAGAAACATAACTTTCATTGTGGGGAATTAATATCAGGTCACAGACACTCTGTGTCAATTCTGCAGAGTGCAGTACTTCCATTGGGACAACATGCTTCTTGTGTGTTGCCCAAATATAATATCCTCACTCTTTCCAAGACCTCCCAAAGGGCTTGTTAGTTTGACTCTGGAATTTGATGAGATTACATTACCTCTTGAGATATGTTATGCAGTGGAAAGGATGATAGCTTCCCCCCATCTCTCGCTGTAGGGGAGTATTGTTACCCTCTGATGATTCTTCCCCACCATCCTTTCATTCTGATGCAGTGTTGTTGCTGCCATGTTAACTTAGGAGCACTTTGGTCCAATATAGTTCAAATATTGGATATGCAGACTTCCCTTTCAGTGTATTATTTATTTATTCACATAGTTATATGCTGGCTGTAACCCCCAAAGATCTAGACAGCTTCTAAGTAACAATATACATCAAAATATTTTGACATTCAAGGTGGCCAAAAAAAAAAAAAAAAAGCATCAGCTGTGTGAAACAAAAAGAATAATGAAGGTGAAAGCACCCTCCCAATACATGCTAGTTTCTGGGAGCTTCCAATCTAGGATAGGATACAAAGAAAAGTACTAGGAACTGTCATTGGGCTGTTCTACATTTAGGGTTTAACCTGCTGCTGTACAGAACTGGCTTATATTTTCATTGCAGAGGCGTTTTCTGCCATTCTGCCTATTCTATTAACCAACCACAAGCTGGTGCCATGGTATATCTGCAGATTTCTATCAGTTCTGAAGACTTAAGTTCAGGTTTATTGCACTTTAAGATGTAATAGCAGATTTTCCTCACTTAAAAAAAACACACACATTATTATTATTATAACATTTCTAAGCCGCCCCTTACCGAAACCTCGGGGCGGCTTACAACACGATAAAATACAATGAAATACAATAGCACATAATAAATTACCATTAAATACAAAATACAAAAAATACATTGGTTTACAAATATAAGATTAAAATTATCAGTATAACTTAAGTAAATAAAAATATAGGAGGAGAAAGAGAAGGAAGAAGTTGCCCTGGCCAGATCATATGTTTTAACAATTCAGATGATGTTTAAATAAAAAGGTCTTTACCTGGCGCCGAAAAACCAGAAACGACGGTGCCAGGCGGACCTCTTTGGGGAGTGAATTCAAAGTCTGGAATACCCAGGAAAGGTCTTTGAGATCAATCTCATTTTGAAAAGACCCCACAAACTTCTGTGAAGGAGGGATCATTAGAGCATAGAAAATGCCTTATGTGGAGAAGCCCATTGTGAGGGTAAATCTGAAGGATGCCAAGAGTGTATCTGGAAATCAGTAAAGGAAATGGGATGCAGTATTTTCTGTACACTGGACAATAAATTAAATCTATTTTCTATAATTCTATATTTTATTGTTCTGTAAATCAGCTAATACAGTATCGTGATACTTGAAAGAATTTCATTTTCTAGTGGCTGAACAGGACAACTAAAAGTTCTGGAGAAATTGCTTATTACTTGAGCTAGAGAGGGGGTACTGTCCTTCCAGAAGGCTTAGCAATAGTTACTTGGGCAAATTAAGTATTAAATATTTGCTCAGAGACACATTTTTTTAAAATCCTGGGACATGTTTCATCTCTATATATGAGAGTGGTGGGATGGCTGAATTCTTCCAGTGATGTACCTCCTCCATCTAGAGTTGTAACCACTGGGCAGCTCTCTGCATGGGGCCCCACCTGCCCTAGAATCTGGGGGCAGAGGCCACAAAGCGATGGAGTCGGCAGCAAAGGAATGCTGACATCTTCTTGGAATGCCCCCTCCTAAATTAATCACACAGCAGGAGAAAGGGCCACTACAGGCCAGCTTGACAGTCCTTAACTCCTATCCCAAGGGGATTCTCACAGATTCCAAGGTGGGCTCCAGCACACATACTGTTCCAGACAATTGCATGTAGTCTAATTTACATAACTTTTTTACATTTTATTGATGAATAAGGCTGATTTCATTGCTCTCAGTACATTGAAATTACTCAATTCATCTTTTAAATGTTTGGGGGTTTTTAAGGCAGGAGGAGGTGCAACTGAGCATACTTGTGTTGTTATTAAAATTATAAACTTGTTTGAATGTATTACATTGAGATGTTTCTCTTTTCCTCTAGAAATGCCCTATCTTAGCACTGTTGCAAATGCATTATGAGGAAAATTCATAGAAGAGTGCTTTGCTACCCAGTCACAACATGAATGCAAGCTTATTGCTAGTATAGAAAAGGAACAAGATAATTATGCACATCCGTTGCACTTTTTGCACCTTTTAAAAACTATGAGCACATTTGAAATGCAGTGACTTTTGCTTTGCAAGGAGCTTAGAAGATGTGATGAGGAGGTGCACAGTCCCAGCGTTCTTCACCCAATGATTGTAACACAGTCGTTTTCTCCTTTTGGATGGAATTGACATGTATAGTTTTATACAGGACTGATTAGTCTTTATATAGGTGCCCCCTCCCCCCCAAGTTATCTGGGTTGCAAAACAGTGGGAAAGCAGCAGCTGCTCATCTTTGGCAGTAGAAGATTATGGTGGCGGCTCAGCACTAGCAAAAGCAGCAGTGGCGGCTGAAGCAGCAGCAGAGCAGGACTCAGCTTGAATGCATTTTTTACTGAAAATCATCAGCGTTGGAAAGTGCAGCCGGAAGACTTGGCAGCCAAGCAGGAATTGACAGCATTTGGAACGAAGAAAACAGGGAAAGACGAGCAACGTGAGGGTGGGGGTAGCACCAGATTTTTTTGTATGCTTCTGGGGAGGAGGGGTTGATTATCATGGCGGATCGGACAGCTCCTAGATGCCGGCTTCGTCTGGAGTGGGTGTATGGATATAGGGGTCACCAGTGCCGCAACAACCTGTACTACACAGCTGGCAAGGAAGTGGTTTACTTCGTGGCTGGAGTCGGGGTGGTGTATAACACCAGAGAGCATAGCCAGAAATTTTTCCTGGGGCACAATGATGACATTATCAGGTAAGAAAGGGGTGTTGTAGTATGGAGAGGGGATTTAGCAAAACAACCTTTCACAACTTCTCATGGTTTATCATGTCTCTGACATTTTAGGAAAGCAAATACTTCTGAATATGTGTATATGAAAGCTGGGGATATTTGAGTCTTGTCTCTTGTTTAAATTTTATGTTTGTGCCCACAGCCCAGTATCCTGGAAGAAATTAAGTTAAATTGCACTCCAAATTTGGAAGCTCATGCACTTGATTGAATACATTAATATTTTAGTTCCCAACCTCCAATGTTCATTACTATTACTTAAACAGTAGTATACAGGTGTAGATTATGCTGTTCCATCAATAACAGCTGGACTGTGATACCTATAGCTGTAATAAATCTGGTATTCTATTCAGTGTTGATACCAATTCCAAAATTTCAACATCTGGATAGACCTTATGGCCCCATTCTAAATGTTTACTATGAAGTACTGCTTGCTTTAAGCTAAGTATATTCAGGATTACAGTGTCAATTGTATTTTTAAGGGGAGTGGAAGATGGTGCAAACCTATACTTGCCTACTCTGGAGTAAATCCCATTAGGTTCAGTGGGACTTACTTCCAGGTAAGAGTGTATAGGATTGTAGCTTCAATGTCTGACAACACTGTGTCAGGAGCATGTTTGTGTTTTAGAAAGGAAATGTTTATGAAGGTGAGTTTTTCAAAGCTATTAAAGAGAATATGTCTTCTGTCAGAAATACACATAACTGAACTAACCTTGTGGTAGTACAGTTTCATTCATTATGAAACAGGTGTGACTCTTGAGCTGGCTTCTATATTTGTTAAAAGTAATGGAGGGAAGCAGCCTGGATTCCCTGTATATTTAAATGCCATGTTGAAGCTTTTTTAACTGTCACTTAACCTGCTTGCTTTGAATCTTTCCCGGCAAAGTAATACTACTGGGACTTGGATCAACACTATGGGGATTTAGGAATATACTAAATTCATTCAAGTCTACCTGTACATTCAGCAGGCTACTGTTTAAAAGGCTAGTGTTTTTCTGCTATTAAGATACCAACAGTCTAGATATCAACATTGTGCCAAACTTTGAATGAGACCTCTGGATGTCTTTGGTTGTATAATTTATGCTGATTTCTATTCTCCAGAATTGGTTTCCTAATTTTACTTTAATTTTGGTTTAACATCGTATCTCTTATTTGTGTTAGTCTGACATCTGTAGCTCTGTCATGAAATCAAAATTTATTCTTAATTTACAAAAATATATAATATGAATGACTTTATGTTATGCATAGTTTTTCTAAAATCATTTTACTTGGATTTGGTAGTGATGTTACCAGATCAACATTTTTCACATATCTTTTTTCACATATCTTTCCTCACTGAATGTAGTAAATTACAGCTATTGTGAAAAGTGATTGTTCACATCTCCTTGAATTTGATTTATAACCTTCTCCTAAGCATTGTGAAATCCGAAAGACTTGATTCCAATCAAGGCCTGGCCAAAACTTTTTTTTCTACCTGATATGGGATGTGGCGAGCCTTTCAGTCACACATTAACTCCATTTGGTCTTTACAGTAAACCATGATTTATTGCTATGCCCATGAGTTCTGGGCTCATGTGTTCATTCTGGGCTCATGTGTTCATTCTGCATGCCCACAGAAACAAGAGATTGGAAGCTTTTGTTTCTGATTCCAATTAATCATAGTGTTTCATCCAGATCCAAATTTAGACAATGTGAAACGGTGGTTTCTCTAAAATGTAATAAAAGTTTCCAAATTCCCCCTTCTGGACATGTCTAGGGAGGAAAGAGGAGGGGGAATTGCATGAGCTCAAGACTCATGTGGCTCAGTCCCATGACACTGCCTTCATTTAGACATGTGTTTTTCCCCAGCCTTCTGTTTCTTTTACTATGGATAGACTGTAAGCCTGGCCATATTGTGTACTTGCTCCTTTTCAATCTGCAAATGAAATAAATAGATGGAGAACAACAATGATTGAGAAATTAACAAAATATAACAATACAAATATTACACCACAAAAAATGCAATAGCAAGGTCATGTAGAGCATTCCCATGATTTATAGATAGGTTAGACTTTGCTTTTTACCATGGTTTGGGTGTTACTATAGGAAATCGAAGAATGTGCATGTCCCTAAAGAGTATTTTTCCTTAAATTTAGGTCTGGTGCACCCTTAGGACTTTAAGTTATGACAGAAGTTGCCACCATATCCCATGAAGTCAGCATCTATTTTCCTATACAAAATTAAATTATTAAATTCTATTTTCCTATGCAAAATTAAATTCTTAAATTCTGTTTTCCTATGCAAAATTAAATTAAGTATGCAATTAAATTCTTTGGCTGCCATCTAGGTCCATTTGCATATGGACACTGGGCTCCCCTTTCCCACCAGTGAATGGGAAAAGACCCTTACTAAAGCTCCTTCTGCCATAGCAGATATAATGGCAGACATACTCATGAAGAATTGTTTCTAATTTTCTTCAGCTGATTGTGTCACATTCAGAGCTGTTGAGTCACAATACAATCCTATCCACAAGGAGTTTTGTTTTGTTTTGTTTTTTTGCAAAGTCTGCATTGCCTTGGTTGAAATGCATCTGATCCCATATTCCAATAGATGGTGGGGCTGGGGCAAAAATAGGTGAAATTATGGATGTGATATTTACCTTAGTTTGGTACACAACAGGAAAAAATGGGATATGTGTTCAGGCATTCATCTTGGCTAGTTTTGTGCTAGGTCCCTCCCACAGAAAGAGAACCAAGACAGGACTACTAATATCAGTCTTGGAATGGGGTAGGTGAGGAGGCATGGCCTGGGGAGAATTTGGAGTTCTGGATTGAGAGGCCTGCAGGTCTCTGCTTACCCACAGGCTGGAACCTTCCTATTCCTATGTTGAAACTAACAGTGTCAAAACAGAGCCCTCTACACTTAGGAGGGGAGGTGCCAGGTAGGTATGGGTGAATCCCAAGGCTGAAAAACTTACCTAGGATCTTTAGAACCTTGTCTCCAGGAAAAGGAAGCCAGTGAGAACTAAGCGTGCTCAATGGGCATGGCATGTTTATCAACTGCTGCGGGGAAATAGTCCAGAAAGGGAATGGAATGGAATATCCTGTAAAAAGGCTATAGCTGGCTAGAACCCTGAATAGGATAATTTCGTTTCAAGTCTCACTTAATTTATAAATGTCAATAGCATGTTGATAATCCATGGGAGCCAGTCTGGGTCTATGTAATTTGGAAGTTCCACTGAATGCAAGTGGGGGTCATTTCTATGTAAATACATAAAGTTGCAGTCTTATCCAGCATTTTTGTATTTTATTTTCTGTTTTTATTTCATTCAAGTGGTTCTGAAAAACAGTATATTGCAATGAATTGGTGAAGCTTGTCAGGGCAACTCATTTTAGTCAATCCTTTTGCAAAGCAGACCATCTTAACAGTTACTTGAAACGTACTAAGTTACATCTGTCCATTCATGATCTACTTCCTCATACATTTCTCATGCCTTGTTTTTTTGCATATTGGTAGTGCTTTATGCTCCCCCCCCCACTTTTTTTCTGTATTACTCGATATGCACAGTTATTCTAAAGGGCTGCTGAGCTCTATTTGTTCTATCCCTGATTTTGCTTATATGGTAACCAAGTTTAACATGAGGAATAAAATGAGATATGCCAATGTGATGGCAATTCTGAGGCACTAGGACAGGAAACTGCAGAAAGACCCGGCATAGAACAAGATCCATTAATTGGACCCCAGCATGTTTGCCTTATTTCCTTTTCCCCATTTTTAAGTTTCAAAAAATATTGCTTCAAATTGGCCAACTTTAAAATATGTTAAGGTAATTGCCTAAGTGAAATGTTTCACAATTCATACTTGTCTGTGCCTTTCTAAAAGTCCTGTTTTAATTCTAAAGCTATGATGGACTGTTTAGTACAGTTACTTTTGATAATAATACTAGATGGAATCAATGGCAAGTCCAGAACTTTATTTTGACTGGTGCGAATTTGGTTGACTTTAAGATAAGACCTTAAATCCTACTGTATTAACTGTGGCTTTATTGTGCAATTCTTTGCCTTTGTAGTGAAACTACACAGTAAGCTTGCTAATCTCTGCTAAGCGATGCTGTAAGACACTTTATAATAATGTAGGAATTGGCAGACCAACCCTATTCTAAGTTGGTTTATTGTGTGTGTGTGTGATTTAATGTGCAACGGATGGTGGGGTTTCAGGGTTTTATGAATGCAATGAAGGTTCATTTCAGTTGTTGCACTGATTATCTCAGCAGGCAGAAACCATATTGGACAATGTCTACATTTTGCTCTCTTGACACAGCTGTAGCAAAGAAATTCCATGCTTGAAGCAGTGTTATCCTTTGATGGGTTCATAGATGTAATCATACAGGAAAAGCTTCCAACAGTCAGAAAAGTTAGGGTTGGTTGTGGATAGTATTTTCCTTGCAGTGAAACAGCAACAGCCAGAGATAGATAATCTAGCAGATAGCCAATAGATGCGCTCTGACTCTTATTTCTTATTGCATTTTTATACTGCTCCCATAGCCCACTGGGCTCTCTCAAAGTTTACATTTCTTCTCTATTTCTTCTCATTCATTTTCTTAAAAGGGTTATATATGAACTTCCAAATCAGTGGTGTCCAGCAATTCTCTTGCAAGTTGCACCTTACCAGTTTTGTGCTTGTTTCAGAGATGCGGCACTTCATTGGCTAGTGGTGGCTCCTCCTCCACTAGTTCTGCCCCTAGCTCCCTGTGTTCTTCAAATGTCACTCCCACTTATCTGGGCACATCCATGGCTTCAGCCTCTCCCCCACAGGCTCCTCTTTTTGAAAGCCAAAGAAGGAGCACTGCTGGGCTCTGGTAAGTAAGTAATGCACCAAGTAAAGGACTGAGGATGATGATTCTTCTCTTGCCCTTACTTGGAACAGTTTGTGGAGAAGTGTCCCTTCAAGCTCTAGTCCCAGTTCTTCCAGTGGTTCACCCATAGTAC